GGAAAACATCGGCTACATTTTACTGTTGCAGCTGATTCAGAGGTACCTGTCTAGGTTTTCTATTTTCTATTTAATTCTAATAAGTACCGTGCTATATGGTTCCTGACATTGTGTTCTCAGCTTTGCATGTGCCTATATGATGGGTTTTTTTCCCTAGAATATATTAGCATCAAAAATGAACTTTGGGAAATTAAGGTAGAGGTGCACATATTGCATTTGAATTCTGTCAATGGAAGAGAACGCTTGTATGATGCAATACAGCACAAAGAAACAGATGGTTAGCTGCCTTGAATTTCATGATAAATGCCCAATACATTTAAAGCTAGAAGTAGCGCCTCAATCAAGTTTTTAATATTTATCCGGCCAATCATGATAAATGCTTCTTGTTTCTAGTTGCTTGTTTAACCATAGCCATTAAGCTCTAGACTATGATTAATATAAATAGAAGAGGCTTAACTGAATTTTGATGCACGAGATGCCAGCTATTTCTTCCTTGCATTAGTTTGCTCTGTATGCATATTTTTCTCTGAATTCCAATTTGTATGTGGTAAGTTTTGTTATTTGATGATCGAATGACGTTGTAGACCTGAGGGCAGTCTTATATTGACTGTGATGTCCAGATGAATGTCTTTTGTTCTTGTAACTTGGTTCATGCTCTATAAACAGTGGAGACTCTTATTCATGATGCAATTAACTAGGTTTTGTGTCAATCTTTATTGTATGTAATTGTGCAGATTACTTAATGTCTTACAAATTACGAGCAGGACTAGGTTTTGTGTTGTAGGATAGTTGGATAATCGGATCAATATTGGCTGAGGGCGATCTGATTTATTCTGAGAAATTGGGTATTTAGATAAATTGACTGGGATTGGACAAAATTTCCATTATTGGTTAATCCTAACACATCCCAACCCATTAAGTCTTGGAATCTTGCCATCTGAATGAGAGAATGAGAGAATATAACTGAGACGAGGAAGAAGAGAGGGAAAAGGGAGGGGAGATTGTGAGGAAAGAGAGGGCACCTAGAAGAAGAAATTTTGCAGAGGAATACAAGACAAGAAAGAGGGAGGCAGACTTAGCGCAATAGAGGGTGGAGAAAGAGTGCCCCTCCCTTCTGGGCCCCAAAACTGGAAAGACTGACAGATTTAGGAATCTCACTTAAATTTTTCTATCTTGGATTATTGATTGGATTTTTGGATTTAGACCAGATTCAACATGCTGTTTACATTCCACAGAGAATGGATTAAACTCCAGTGTCTACATGGTACCTACTACTATCGTTATGATGATGACATAATTTAACTGGACCTGTTAACAACAGTGAGTATAATAGTAATTGTTGTATGCTATATTGCATTTTCTGAAGTCAAGGGTTACAAAGTGCCAATTCACATTTAAAGAATTTAGTAGTAATTAATTGCTACAAAGATTTCAATCTTATTTTGATTTTAATTTTTTTTTTATTTTTACATAGTATTTCTGGAATAATTTTTAATATATCTTTTAAATATTTTAAAATGATATAATACTTTTAAATATTAATTTTTAATTTTTAGTTTTTGCAATATTGTTTCAACATTTTCATATTTTTCTATTTATTTTATTTTCTTTATTAACTTGTTTAATAAAATTTATATTTGCAAAACATTTTCAGTTTTTAGGAAAACAAAACCCCTTCAGGATTTATCAGTAATTTAAAGGTAATGAATAATATAACACACGGCACATTGTGTTTCATGGGATATTATATTCATATATTAACTATAAATAAGATGCATCACCTAATTTGTTATTTGTCATGCTGTATTTTCATATGAAATATAGTAATTTAAAGTAACTTCATTACAAATTAATATATGATATGCAACATTATTTTTATGATGTCTTTGGTCTATTTTTTCTAATTCCTCTCATTTTCCTTATTTTATAAAATTTGAAATTTCGAGATTTTTTTGTTTCTCAATTCTGATTTCTCTTATATGACTGGTCCAACCAATGCTATGTTTTTGCAATTGACTGATCCATATACTGATTCTGATTTATGACCTATGTTTTGATAAAAAGCTTCAGAATTATCTGGTAGAAAGAGTGGCATGCATTAGAAGAGCACATGCAATTTAGGGGAATGAATATGATTATTACAACATCAAAACCTTCATGAAATGAGTAGCGCAAATACGTTATGAGGACTTTCTTCTGAAATAGGTCTTTAATATATAGGAATCTGTTACAGGTCTTTAGTTTTCTTAAAATCATCCAGTGGGTTGTCTTGCATCACTTTCTAGCTGTTTGCCAAATTGTCAATTTGGAAAGAACAGAATGGTGGTGTTATGCAACAAAAAGAACCATCTAAAGTAGATATCAGAAAGTAAAAGGGGCATCATGACTGCTCCGTTGGAACATTGCGACTCCCTCTCTGCTGGAACAAATGGTTGGTTCTTGATTGAGTTCCAATTTATTTGTGTTGCAGATCTCCACTTCGCCTGTTCTAGTATAAGGAAATGCCATGCGTCATAGTTTCACCAGGTGGGTTTCACCAGGCTGCTAATTTCATGAAAAGCAATTGAGAATTGAGATCGTGTATCAGATTTATTTCATCAAGGAACATTGTTGTAATTAATACAAAACACCTTTGAGCCACCTGAAGAAAAACACTATAGAGCACTGACCAACCATGCGGTTTTAAGATATGCTAGATCTATTGCTGCATGCTTTATTGGTCAGTAATTACAACTAGGATAATCCAGTGAGATATAAGTTTCCCTTTCAAAAGTTTTTCTTATTCAGTGGCTAGTTATGGCATGACTTGAATGGTTTTTATGCAACAATGATACCTTGGAGATGAATCTGTACTGTGAGGTTGGTGGAATAGATTCTTCGTATCCTGGTTAGGTGTTCGGATAAATATAGCTTGTGGGTGGATATGTTGTGGATATGTATTATGGATTTTGTGGTTTTATTAGTTGCATACTGTCAACTTGTTGGCATGATGTTTTAACTTGCATTGTGCTGTTGCAATCCTGACAATATGCTGTTACAAGTCACATCCTTTGGTTCCGTTTAGGCACAAGAAAGCTTTTCCAATAAGAAAAAATGGCTTACCATAAAAAACCTTTCGAGAAAAGAATTTTGACCAAATAACACCCCCATGGTTATTTTTCTTTTCATGACTCCTGTACAAGGCACCAAGCTTCAGACAATTAGCAACGAAGTTAAAGCTGTGCCTTGAAACGAACATTGTTACCATATTTTTATATAATTCTTTGTGAAAGTGACATGTCAACCAGCTTGGCATTGCCCATTTTAGCGTTAAATACTTGATTGTTGCATCGTCTAATCGGTTCAGTGATACCATGTTGAAATCTGGTAATGTTGTTTGCTATGCATTTCACTGGCTCTGTTACTAATTCATGCCTAATTACTCCCAAGGGAATATTGTCCATTTTTGGTTGCCGTATCATTATTTATTAAGATAATGTAGCCTCATTTATACATGGTGAGAAAACCATACCATTTGTCTTCATTATTATGACCTTCTAGCTTCTGCTTCATTCTCCTATGTGCTTTGTTTTTAGTATTCTTTGTTTCTTAGTTATTTTTTAATGAATTCAAAGGCTTATCTGCGCTTGTTTGTTTATTGGTTTATCTGCCATACCAGGAAAATGAAGCAGCTGAAAGCACCTTAACCACATTTAAGCCTTATGAGATCACAGAGGAAATGCGCCAAGAGATGGATTACAATGCTGACCGAGCATGGTAGGTGCTTGTTTATGAACCTTTCTTTTGACTGAAATCAAAGTGTTATAAACTTGTCTTGAAAATGTTACTCTGACATTCAATTTAATCAACTTATCTTTTCTAAGATTTTTACTGAAAACAAGGATTGAGCACCTTTTATTTTCTATAAATTTGACGTATTGCTTCCTGTACATAATCCTTTGGGGCTTAATGAATGGTATGTCATGAAAGTATCAATTGCGCTCTAAGTCTCTTGATGTTTTTTTTGTAGGTACGACAGAGATGAACATAACACAATGTTTGATGGTGATAGCTCGTCATTGTTTGGTGGGGATGATGCTTCTTATAAAAAGAAAGAAGCATCACTGGCAAAGAAACTGGTATAATATATCATTGCCTCTTCCTTTCCTGATACCGAAATAATGTAGTTTTAGCAATATAAGCTTCCATATTATTTTTGCTCTATAAATTTATATCTCTTCATGTTAGCTTGCAATTAGAAGCACAAATGATTTTTGTTGGAAGTACTTCAATGTGAGTTCAGCGAATTAGTTTTGGTAAAAGTGAGGCTAGTAGCACATACTCCTGGGTAGCATGGTGATACTTGCATTTTGGATCTTCAGTTAATACCACTAATGTAATTATAAACTTCACAAATTGTAACCAGGTTTTTCTTTTATTTTTGCTTGGATGGTTTAAATGGTTTTGTCTCTGAGAAAGATTACCTTTTGCATTTTCACTATGGAGTTTGTTGGTCACATTGGATTTGCAATTTGTCATGAGTTTAACAAGCAAATATGTTTTACTTGGCTCTCCTTTGGGACCTGGTTTAGTTGTCTTTTGATCTGCTTTTTGTCGAAAGGTTCAATGGGTTTACTTTTTTTCTTTTTTCTTGGGAGGTTAAATGATTTTTATTTTCCTTGATGAAGGTCATTATCTGTTGTATTTTCATGATGAAGTTTGTTGGTCACATTGGAGTTGCATTTGTTACAAGTTAAAAAGCAAGTGTTTTACTTGGCTCTCCTTCACGACCTGGTATAGTAGCCTTTTGGTTGGCTTTTTTGTTGAAAGTGCCTTTGAGTTCAAGTCTATCTCAAGTCCAGGTAAATTTAGATTTAGTCTATGGTTGAGGTTGGGTCCTAATTAATTGTGTCAAGTTATTTTTTTTTCTGTTTTTCAGAATTTTCATTTTTAATTTATTAGTATTTGTTGTGAAAGGGGATTGAGACTATTTTAGTTATTTTAGGATTCTAACCTTGGTTTCTGGTTAAATATTTGAAGTGCAGCTTTTGGTATGTGTAACTAATTAATTGTTATCCAAAATAAGCATCAAACTTATACTTGATGGATGTAGCAATAATTCATCATATCAGCCTTTAATATGACAGTATTAAAGATTATGGCTTAGGAGAAAGAAGAAAATAAGAAATACAACCAGTCAATTGTAATCTTTATTGTCTTTCTGATCTATATCGAGATTTAATTTTTATTATACTACTTAGGAGAAATGTATGCTGTATCGAGTTATGAAATTAATATATAACTTTTCCCTAGAGTATGACATGGTCATCCTTTTTCCCTGCTTATAAGATTCATCTTGTTTCTGATCTGGCCTTTTACCTTGTTCACATTCGCTCTGTTTTATACACCTATTACATCTGTGCTTGCTTCACTCAGAATAATTTGACTAAAGCTTTTTTGGATTTTGATATTACTGATATGAAGTGGAAGGTTCTAGAATGCTCTCCATGCAGTTTCATGTTTCTGATTTTGATATTGCGGTGGTCATATGACCCATCTTGTACAAGACATGTACTCTCTCAGGATGCAGGACATTAGTATTAGGCTTGATATGAACATGTTTTTGTGAACCAGCAATTACCCTTCAGATTAAAAGAAATTTTTTTATAAGAGCAGCTATGTTTTGTCTGCCACAATGTTGAGTAGCCGAGAAGAATATTTGAAATGGTAGGAGCAGCTTAAGGCTTTTGAAATGAATGTCTAGACAGAATAAATAAAATAGTGAATGGCACCTCTGGAAAGTTTGATATGTAGCCTGTTAAGTTATCATGTGATGGAACATTATCTGAAATATATTGGATGCATTCAAGAGGTAAGGCGAGTTAATTAAATTTGTCTTTAGCGGTTGGAAAGCTTGGCTTATTAGATTCCTGACTTATCTAGACTTTGTTAACCCAAAGTCATTATCACCTGCTGGATCTTTATCCTTGGTACAACTTGGAGATTGTACTAATATTATTGCAAGTCATAGTAGAAAAAATAAATTCATTTACATATACCACTTTTTTTCTTATATATGTGTAATGCTGCAGACTCGTAAGGATGGAACATTGATGACCCTTGCCCAAAGTAAGAAGTTATCACAATTGACTGCTGATAATGCTCAGTGGGAAGACCGACAGCTATTGAGATCGGGGGCTGTTAGAGGAACAGAGGTGCAGATTGACTTTGAGGATGAGGATGAGCGCAAAGTCATCCTTTTAGTTCATGGTATGCTGAAGTTAGATCTAATTGTTCTACAGTATTACTCTGTAATGGCTTTATCATTACCATTGATGCTATGTTCCAGTGAGTACCTCGTTGTCCTATTCTGTCATGAAGGAGGAATATGAAGTTGATTATGAACTCTTAGGATGATGTTTGTTGTTCATGCTATAGATTTTGGGCCACAAGTTCTAGTGAGGTGTCTACGGTAATCACATTATAATCAGACTCATATTTGTGCTAACAAAAGGATTTTGCATAAATTAAAGAAAAAATTCTTATATATCAAGTCCGATATTTTTCTATTATTGCACATTTTTCCTGTTCAACTTTGGTGATTATTTTGGCATAACAAACCTGAGGATTATGTACCAAGATTTGTTATCACATATCTTACCAAAAATTAAGATAATATTAGAATCCTAATCTAATTTAAAGATACCCAAATCTATTAAAAAAGGAGGATTATTTACCAAGATTTGGTATCGCATATCTTATAAAAAGTAAGGATAACATTAGAATCTAAATATATCCAAATATGGTAAAAAATCATTTCGATACATTTTAATGAAAATAATTTTGTAATACCTAGAAAATAGAAAAAAATCATTTCTCAAATTTGACCAGAAAATATCTGTAAGATAAATAAATTTACAAAAAATAGAAAGATTAACCCTTACATATTTTGACACAATGGAGACCTAACTAAATGCAATTTTGGCTTTGGGTTCAAATTGTTCTTCCTCATTTTTTATTACAATTTCACATTTTGTCAACATCTTCAGTTCTATTGTAAATTATGTGGATGTGCAATGCACTATACATTTTGTTACAGAAACCTAAGGTTGATGCTTCTTGTGCTCATTAATACTCGGAAAGAGTTGGGTTATAATTGTGAGAATTAACGTGCTAATGATTAACATTCACTATTTGTGTTTTAAGAATTTCAATTCCTTACTATGTTTCCAAAAGGATTTATGTTGTGAAATGTGCAATTTGTTTCTGTAATAAACGTAACTAGCTGTTTGAGAGCTTATAGAAGAGAAATGTCACTTGTTTCTAAGATATTTTGAATGTCATTTGCATTCTTTATAGTATACAATACCTATGCCAGAAGCAAGCTACCCTTTTGTTTAAGAAGTCTACTGGGAAGTCTATTAAATATAAGCAGTTTCTTGAGAGATCCTGTAGGGCCATCACTGATAAAAAAGATAAAAGACTTGAATAATAGAAATTGTCCTGCGTTAGACTTATCTGATATTCCATCATCTATGATAAATATCCATGCGTCATGAAAAAATGCTGGTCTTTCAGAGAGATGTTGTTTGTTTCCACTGTTTTGAGTGAGTCAAATTTTATATAAATACCATGTTTGTTTGGAGGAATCCTAACTTATCTTTGATGAAGTAAAAAAAGAAAAGAAAAAAAAAACTCTTAGT